TTTTGACACGAATGGAGGGGGATGGGAGCATGGCTCCTGATTGGCCGTTGGTCTTAGTAACACCCGAGCCTAAGCATGTTCAGCGTCGTCTTTGGATGGGTAGCTACTGGCAACCAAAACACACCCCATGTACGCGACGCTGGGGCGAGATGCGCGCCACGCGCGCCAGGCTTCCCTGGGGCCCGGGCGCGCCAGGCACGCCTGGTGCGCCAGTTGCGCCACGTGCTTCCGCGTGCGCCAGGTGTGCTGCATACCCCAGCCGTACCAGGTGCGCCACGTTCGGGGGGTACGTGCAGGGTGTGTCAGGTGCGCCTGCGCACGTGTCAGCACACACCGGGAAACCCGCCTGCCCGATTTCACTAGCCTTTATTCGGCCAGCCCGCGTACGAGAAAGTTTGCCATGCATTTGAGCGCCAGGCGCACGCCGAGCGAGGAACGTTTGGTGGCCTGTAGCGTCGACGCGTTCGCCCTAATTACGTGGCAGCCCACCTGAAATAATGTCATGTCGAGGTTTTCGCGCGTGTAAATGCGCAATATGCAAACATCATTGCGCCGTCATTCCTGTGTCTCTGCAGGCTGTGAGCGAAAGAGGGGGCTCGTTCTGTTTCAAGTCCTCAATCTTGGTCTTTTCGTTCCGTTTACCCGTCCTCACCGTCTCCTCTGTTCTCTCACACCATGACCACGGCACGGATGGTAGCAGTCGCACACGGGGCTGGCACGGCAAATTCGGCAGATCTGCCCGTACCAAAGCCACGCGTGCACCCTGGCAGTGCAGCTCCCCAGCAGTTATTGTCAGCTTCTTCCCACTCGCCGGCCCGGCCGCCGAGGTGCTGCGTGAGGCTTCGGCACACCGCTTTAGGTTAATTGTCTTTGCGCGCCCCGCTCTGACTGGACTCGCCGCTGGCGCGCTCGCCTGCGGCCGCTGATAAAAAAAAAAAATAAAAAAAAAAAAAAAAAAAAAAAAAAAAAAAAAAAAAAAAAAAAAAAAAAAAAAAAAAAAACCACGCGGTGTTGGCACAACTACTTTTACCCAAACTACAGCCCGCTTGATTAAAATGTCGAGACCGCGGGGGTCGAGAAAGACACGGCTGGCCTCCCGTTGGGCCGCGGGGTTCCGGGACAATGTAGGAGTTGGGGCCGATCTGGGCATTCCAGATGCACCTCGCACCCTTATTCCCCAATCAGAGCTTGCCTCTGCAGGGGTCCTAGCGGATTCATATGGTTAGGTTAGTTTGCCGCCGATTTTCGCGGCACGCCTGGGTGCCCGGGGGTGCCGGGTGCCCGCGTGCCCAGGCGTGCCCGGGGGTGCCCGGGTGCCCTCCCGGTAGCCCCGTAGCCTTATAACCTTAGAGCCTTATAGCCCTATGGCCTTATAGCCCTCTAGCCCTATAGCCCCAATAATTCTACAACCCTATAGCCCTAATAGCTCCACAGTTTTATACCCTTATAACCCTATAGCCCTATAGCTCTCTAGCCCTCTAGCCCTGTAGCCCTAGAGCCCTATAGCCCTATAGCCTCATAGCCCTATAGCCCTATAGCCCTTTAGCCCCATAGCCGTATATTACTTTTAAAAAAAGAAGTTATGATTAGGCTTTTCTCTGGTATCATTTGATACTATAGCTGCCAAGGGGGGTCAGCGTCTGGAAGTGCGATTCCGCCAGAGATTTGTTCCACAAAATTTCAGACCGCTTCCCAGGGCGATCTGAAAATTTGCTATGGCATCTGAAAATGGCGACTCCGCGTGGGAAGTCCTCGGAACATTCGCCTGAGAATTCCACACAGGGTGTTTCCGGCCGCCAGGGAGTGGCGATTCTGTCTGGGTTGTCTTAACAACTGCGCGTCTCGTCCACCCTTGCGGCACCGTTCCTTTGTTCGGGTCACGAGCCTGCCTGGGAGTCATTTTGGGATCGATCGAAGGTCGAAACTCGAGGCTTCATCGATTGGTGAAGACCGAAGGGTTGTTCCCTCGCGTAGTGCCGATCGCCCCTTTTTCATCCAGGGGGTGGTAGGGTATGGGTCCATCCTCCTCGCCTCTTCCTCTTCGTTCTGCCTCCCCCGCACCACCTCCCGAACAACCCGGAGCCCTCCTTCCGCTTCCTCCTCCACCTTGGCGGTCGGGAGGGGGGGAGCAGGAAGGTGGGGGGAGGGATGCTAGTGCTGGGGGGAAGTGAAATGGAGGAGGCCTCTCAGAAGGCGGCGGGGCCTCTGAGGCCCCAAAACGGTCCAGAAAACCGGAGGACGTCCAAACCGTCTAAGACGCCCCCCCTGGGGCCGCCGCCGAACAGGCGCACCATTGGACCATGGTGCGGGGGGGAGCCGGGGAGCTTTTATATTTGGAGAAGAATGCCTTGTTTGGAAATCTAGAGCAATTCGGAAGATCAACACACACACACATATATATATATATAGAGAGAGAGAGAGAGAGAGAGAGAGAAAGAGAGAATTAGAGAGACAGAGAGAGAGAGAGAGTGAGAGAGACATATCAATAGTTTAGCCCAAACATAGCAATTCGAGTGGTTTTGCTATGTTTTCTCCCCCCCGGGCGCGCCGCTGCTGCGCGCGCGCTGCGCGCAAGCTGCCCTGCGCGCGGCCGCGCGTTAGGCGCGACCCCGCTGCACACGGCGCGCGCGCAGGCGCCCCGCGCCCTGCGCGCGGGGCTGCCGCGCCGTCGCGTTCGGGACCCGCCCCGGCGGGGGCCTTCGCGCAGGAAGGGGCCCGGGAGGCCGCAGGCCCTGGAGGGCTCCCTGCCTGGCTGGGGGGGACGGCCACGGCCGCTCCGCGGTGGGAGTTCCACGGGCCTCCGGGCCCCGGATGCCTCGCCTACGGGTTCCTTGTACCCACTGCTTTCCCCGCGCGGTGCCTCGAGCTGGCCCCTGGCCCCCGCTGCTCGGACGGCATCCCTGCGCCGGCCGTCGTGGTCTGAGCGGGCTCCTGCCTTGCCTCCCTCCCGCTCCGCTCTCTTTCGCCTTCGCTCCTCCATGCGCTCCAGGTGCGCCCCCACCGCTCGCGTGGCACAGGCGTCCGACGGTCCTGGGCCACGAGGTGCCCGCGGGCACAAAAAGGGCAAGGGAGCTGCTGCTGATGCTGCTGGCGCTGATGTGGGGGGCCTCGTGGGGCGTCCAGGGTCCATCAGGAGGGAAAAAAAGACACGGACACGATTAATCGTCGATTCCCCCGAAAATATTTGAAAAAATGGAAAGTGGGGGGGACGACAAAAACCAAGAAAAAATATGAAAATACCTATACGACCACCCTGCGGGTGATAAGGAGGTGAGGGGGGAGGGGGAACCAACGTCTCACTCAATCGATCTCGCTATCGATTTCACATTCGATCTCATTATCTATATCACTATCGATCTCGCTATCGATCTCAGATCTCACAATCGATCTCACATTCGGTCCCACATTCGGTCTCACTGTCGATCTCACTATCGATCTCACAATCGATCTCACTGTCGATCTCACATTCGGTTTCACATTCGGTCTCACGATCGATCTCACAATCGATCTCATTATCGATCTCACAGTCGATCTCACTATCGATATCACAACCGATCTCGCAATCGATCTCACATTCGGTCTCACAGTCGAACTCTCATTCGGTCTAGATTGGGGGGGAGGGGCCCAGCAATGGGCAACATCGTAATTGTTTCCCTTCCTCTTTCGAGCTCGCGCATCATCATCACCATCATCACCATCATCATCATCACCATCATCATCATCATCAGCATCATCATCATCATCATCACCATCGCCATCGCCATCACCATCACCATCATCATCATCATCATCATCATCATCATCATCATCATCATCATCATCATCATCATCATCATCATCAGAATAATCATCCACATCATCATCATCGGGACACCGACGGGACACCGACGGGACACCAGCGGGACACCGGCGGGACACCGCGCGCCACCGGCCGCCCGGAAGGGAAACATTTGGTCCGGCCGCGCCTCAGCCACAGGAGAACCGACGGGACACCAGCGGGACACCGGCGGGACACCGCGCGCCACCGGCCGCCCGGTGGAGAATCATTTGGTCCGGCCGCGCCTCAGCCACAGGAGACTTTCTCTTGCCCGCCCACGCAGCTTCGCCTCGCCCGCACGCACGGCACGCACGAACACGAAACCGAGATCGATTTCCCGGTAGGGGGGCTCTCCGTTCCACTTCGATCTCACCCCCTCACCTCCGATGACAATATTTTTATTTGTGTGTATTTATTTGTGTGTCCCGGGGCTCCTTCAGTCCAGGGGGGGGTCCAGGGGCGGCCGGGGGGCCCGGGGGCGCCCAGGAACTCCAGGGGGAGTTTTTTGGGGGGGGGTCCGGGGCCGCGGCCAGCACAGTTGTTCAGAGCACCGAATCATCAGGGGTAACTCGGGTCAGGGATAACTCGGGTTCCTTTTTCGGGAATCCGAACCCGACTTACCCCGGACCCGACTTACCCCGGATAGTTCGGGCGTCCAGAGCCCCGAATCATCAGGGGTAACTCGGGTCAGGGCTAATTCGGGTTCCTTTTTCGGGAATCCAAACCCGAGTTACCCCGGACCCGAGTTACCCCGGATAACTCGGGCGCCCAAGTTGTACGATGTGGTGCAGCGGATTCCTGCGTGTGGTGATTGCGGCCGGTCGGCGTTCCATGTTGTGAGGCAGTGCCGTGTGGCGTCTTGGCCGGCATGCGTCACGATAGAGGTCAGCTTCAATCACGCTGTCTGTCCTTTCCGTTGCAGCGAAGGCCTTCGTTGAGGAATTGGCCCAGGAGGCTTTAGACCCTGCAAGCTTCCTCATCTGATGAAGGTGGCGCTGATGTCCATGACCAATGGATGTTCCATCAGCTTCCAGACCCTGGATTCCTTTTCTAAGGGTTTCTTTTCCAATGCCCTCTCAGTGCTCCAGCGTTCTCCATCAGGTCTCCCCTCTTTCGCAAGGCCATCACGGTTCTGCTCCGTATTCGTCCTGCCCACATGCTTCTTGTTCACGCCGGGGTGGAGCGCGCGCCGAGGCGATGCTGCCTTGAGCTTCAGGGGCGTGAGGGCCCTGGTGCAGCGGACGGCATACCGAGCCAACGGTCTGGCTGGAGAGTCGGAACTGCGGGTCGAGTTCGAGAGCTGGAAGGATTGGTGGCGGCGGGGAGTGGCGCTGGGGAGCGGTACTGTATTTGACGCCACGGCTTTGAAGCTAGATGGTGGTTGCCATGTGTGATCTCAGGAAGCAGATTGTGGAGATGTTCGTTTGCCTTTTTTCCCCATTCGTTTCAGATCGTCTGTGCAGCTTCAAGTTTCTTGTCGCACTGCTCATGCCATGTGGATGTTGCGCAGGTCTCGCAGATTACGGCGCACATTGTTTTGTGTGCATGGTGTGATTGTCACAGTCCGGGTTTGGCCCTGTGGTAGCCTGCCTGGGGTCGGAGCCTTCGCCCTGGCCCTGGTCCCGATGCCGCTTCGATCTCTCGTCTGCCCAACTTGGGTTTGTGGCCCCACACCGACGTACAACGCTACATGTTCGAGATGCGTCATAATGTCACAGCTGCTGCTTCATGGCATCACGGCTACATCGCTGGAAGCTCGTAGCTGCTTCACTGGCATTTGCATTGCTACTTTGCGGTTCCCGAGTGATTCAAATTTGCCCCATCCTTAATTTTTTACAGAGACGCATGGAGGTACCATATCTACATGTGTGTGTGGGATGCCTCTTTACCCACGCACCACCCTTATACTACCAGTCCATGGAGAGTGCGCCGTGGGCATTTCCCGAACAGCGCTCACATTGAAGGGTTCGCGACCCGAATTGTCAGGAGCTGCCCCCGTACAGCAGGGCAGCCCGCTTTCCGCCTCCGCGCAAGCCGCTGCGCCACCAACGCGCGACCGCGGACGCCATCGCGCAGAGCACAGCGAAGCCCGGCGCGCGGCCCGCTGTGCACCTCGCAGCCACCGCGCAGCCCGCTGAGCAACCGAGCAGGGCAGGAGGGACTGCTCTTCTAGCGGCCATCGCGCGGAGGCGGCGCCAGTCGCACAGGGAGGCGGGGCGCCAGCTAGCGGCAGGCGGGGCACAAATTGCGAATGACGCCGCCCCTGCGCCAAGGGTCTCAGCGGGCGCCGCATTTGGCGCGGGGTCGACGCGCGGTTCTTCTACCTGCCGAGTGCGGCCTCTGGAGTTGTGAGCACAGCACAGCCACGACTCCACTGCGAGGGAGAGGCTCTTGCTGCTGTCCTCAGCACGGGGTGCGCAGGACGTGACACCGGCCTGTCCAGAAATCGTTGAAGTGCCACGACAACGCTCATCTTATGATAGGCAAGTGTTTGTGGTCAGGCTTTCATGTGCAGCTGGAGGACGCGATACATGAGCATGTGTACATCTGTACACATTATCTGAAGGCTTTCGCCTTATATCGCCAGCGCCCCTGATATTGCTTGCCTTGCCACGCTTGTTGGGTAGCTTGGTTGACGTTCTTGTCGTTTTGCTGGCTGGCTGGCTGCAACCCGGCGCATTGGCACGTTCTCTGAAGCAGTGATGTGTATTTGAAGTGACCCGTCTGTTGGCTGGCTGGTTGCGCGCGCCTGTAATAATTCAATACAGATCGTGTCTTCGGGAGCGCTCTCCCATGGCAGTTTGCAAGGGTCCGCGGCCTCGGGAGCACGCACTCCTAGTTGTTTTTGAGGTTCGTGGCCTCGGGTGTGGAGCCGAATTCGCAGGAAACGACGCGTTCCCAGGAAACATGTCCCAATACAGAAAATTGAAGTTCTCTGGTATTGCGAAGTGGGTAGAGAAGGGGTGGCTCTGTTGAGCAGCCTCTGTGGGGTAGGTCCGTGTCCTCGGGAACACGAATGCGCAGTGATGTGCAAGGTTTTGCGGCCTCGGGAGTGCCACCCCACAGAAATTTGAAACGGGCTGTCGTACATGATTGAGGGTTGTGGCATCGGGGGCTCGAGCGCGTTGTAATTTACCTGGGGTTGTGAGTTAGTGAACACGAAACGGTTGTTGTTCACAAGTGATCGTGGCCTCGGAAACGCAAGTGCTGTTGTAATGTGCAAAAGAGTGGCGTCTCGTGGGCGCGAATCCATAACATTTTGCGTGTGCCAGGACCCATGGCCGAATTCTCAAGACACAGGGGGGGAGATTGTCGCAAATCTATTGTGTGAGCCCTGTGTGCCATTCATTCCTTGTGGAGTGCATTTGGCGAGAAAACAATCCCCGGTTTTCATGAGCGTGGTCACGGTGCGTTTCACGGAGTCCGCAATCATAGGTCGGGTCGTGCTCGTGAATGTCACGGTCTTCTGATTCATGAATGCGGTCACAGTGCATTTCATGGAGGGTGAGCACGACGGGCGTTGTTGGTGGACCTCCGCCCTTGCCCTCTCCCCCCCCCCGGTGAGGACCATCATGGGCCTTGCCAGTGAGGACCACCATGAGGCCTCACACCCCTCGCAGTTTCCATCATTGGAACTGCGGGGGTCGAACCAAATCCCCACAAACCTGGCACCGCACGTGCAGTGCCAGGGGCGGCGGCCCGTTTTCCCATCTCACCATCAAAGTGGGGTGCGAAGTCCCTGAAGACGGGACGGGGTGGGCACGAGCGGGCATCATAGCCGGCTCAAACTCAAAAGAGGCATCATAGCCTCATCAAACTAGATTGATACACGCACGTGTCCACTGCAATTGGTTTTCATTGAAGTCATTCCATGCGTAGCATGCTCTCCCCTAATGGACCGCGAACGGGACCCAGTCCCCTGCCGGTCGTCTAGCGCCGCCATCATAGGCAGCCCGCACCCAATTCGGGGCCATCAGCAAGGCTCGTTTTGGGAAGAAGGACCATCATAGGCGTTCGCGCTCAACTTGTTCATTGAAGTCAACTTTCTCGTCGTCGTCGTCGTCCTACCCCTCCTCCTCCTCCTCCTCCTGGTCTCCACCCCATCAGAGCCGCGATACAAGCAGTGCGGGCAGCACCTCGGCCTTGATCGGGTCGTGCTCGTGAATGTCACGGTTTCCGTGATCATGGGTGTGTTCACGGTGCGTTTCAGGGAGTCCGCAATCGTAGGTCGGGTCGTGTTCGTGAATGTCACGATGTTCTTGTTCATGAGTGTGGTCACAGTGCGTTTCGCTGAGTCCGCAATCATAGGTTGGGTCGTGCTCGTGTGTTTCACCGGGCGTTGTTGGTGGACCTCCGCCCTTGCCCTCTCCCCCCCCCCGGTGAGAACCATCATAGGCCCTTCCAGTGAGGACCACCATGAGGCCTCACACCCCTCGCAGTTTCCATCATTGGAACTGCGGGGGTCGAACCAAATCCCCACAAACCTGGCACCGCACGTGCAGTGCCAGGGGCGGCGGCCCGTTTTCCCATCTCACCATCAAAGTGGGGTGCGAAGTCCCTGAAGACGGGACGGGGTGGGCACGAGCGGGCATCATAGCCGGCTCAAACTCAAAAGAGGCATCATAGCCTCATCAAACTAGATTGATACACGCACGTGTCCACTGCAATTGGTTTTCATTGAAGTCATTCCATGCGTAGCATGCTCTCCCCTAATGGGCCGCGAACGGGACCCAGTCCCCTGCCGGTCGTCTAGCGCCGCCATCATAGGCAACCAGGGAGCCATCATAGGCAGCCCGCACCCAATTCGGGGCCATCATAGGCCTTCGCGCTCAACTTGTTCATCGAACTCAACTTTCTCGTCGTCGTCGTCGTCCTGCTCCTCCTTCTCCTCCTCATCTCAGTCTCCACCCCATCGGAGCCGCGATGCAGGCAGTGCGGGCAGCACCTCGGCCTTGATCGGGTCGTGCTCGTGAATGTCACGGTGTCCGTGATCATGGGTGTGTTCACGGTGCGTTTCAGGGAGTCCGCAATCGTAGGTCGGGTCGTGTTCGTGAATGTCACGATGTTCTTGTTCATGAGTGTGGTCACAGTGCGTTTCACGGAGTCCGCAATCATAGGTCGGGTCGTGCTCGTGTGTTTCACGGCCTTCGTGATCATGGGCGCGATCACAGTGCATGTCACGGAGTCCGCAATCGTAGGTCGAGTCGCGCTTGTGAATTTCACGGTTTTCGTGATCATGAGCGTGGCCACGGTGCGTTTCACGGAGTCCGCAATCATAGGTCGGGTCGCGCTCGTGAATGTCACTGTCTTTTGATCCACGAATGTGGTCACAGTGCATTTCACGGAGGATGAGCACGACGGGCGTTGTTGGTGGACGTCCGCCCGTGCCCCCCCCCCCCCCCCGGTGAGGACCATCCTAGGCCTTGCCAGTGAGGACCGCCATGAGGCTTCACACCCCTCGCAGTTTCCGTCATTGGAACTGCGGGGGTCGAACCAAATCCCCACAAACCTGGCACCGCACGTGCAGTGCCAGGGGCGGCGGCCCGTTTTCCCATCTCACCATCAAAGTGGGATGCGAAGTCCCTGAAGACGGGACGGGGCGGGCACGAGCGGGCATCATAGCCGGCTCGGAATCGAAAGAGGCATCATAGCTTCATCAATCTAGATGGATACCTTCACGGATCCACTGCAATTGGTTTTCATTGAATTCATTCCATGCGCAGCATGCTCTCCCTTAATGGACCGTGAACGGGACCCAGTCCCCTGCCGGTCGTCTAGCGCCGCCATCATAGGCAACCAGAGGGGCCATCATAGGCACCTCGCACCCAATTCGGGGCCATCAGCAAGGCTCGTTTTGGGAAGAAGGACCATCATAGGCGTTCGCGCTCAACTTGTTCATTGAACTCAACTTTCTCGTCGTCGTCGTCCTCCTCCTCCTCCTCCTCCTTCTCCTTCTCCTCCTCCTCCTCCTGGTTTCCACCCCATCGGAGCCGAGATACAGGCAGTGCGGGCAACACCTCGGCCTCGATCGGGCCGTGCTCGTGAATGTCACGGTGTCCGTGATCATGGGTGTGTTCACGGTGCGTTTCAGGGAGTCCGCAATCGTAGGTCGGGTCGTGTTCGTGAATGTCACGATGTTCTTGTTCATGAGTGTGGTCTCAGTGCGTTTCACTGAGTCCGCAATCATGGGTCGGGTCGTGCTCGTGTGTTTCACGGTATTCGTGATCACGAGCGCGAGCGCCATCACAATGCATGTCACGGAGTCCGCAATCATAGGTCGAGCCGTGCTTGCGAATTTCACGGTTTTCGTGATCATGAGCGTTGTCACGGTGTGTTTCACGGAGTCCGCAATCATAGGTCGGGTCGCGCTCGTGAATGTCACGGTTTTTGATCCATGAATGTGGTCACAGCGCATTTCACAAAGGATGAGCACGACGGGCGTTGTTGGTGGACGTCCGCCCTTGCCCTCTCCCCCCCCCGGCGAAGACCATTATAGGCCCTGCCAGTGGGGACCGCCATGAGGCCTCACACCCCTCGCAGTTTCCAGCGTTGGAACTGCCGGGGTCGAACCAAATCCCCATAAACCTGGCGCCGTACGTGCGGTGCCAGGGGCGGCGGCCCGTTTTCCCATCTCACCATCAAAGTGGGGTGCGGAGTCCCTGAAGACGGGACGGGGTGGGCACGAGCGGGCAAACTCAAAACAGGCATCATAGCCTCATCCATCTAGATTGGTACATTCACGCATCCACTCCATTTTTTCATAGAATTCATTCCATGCGTAGCATGCTCTCCCCAGTCCTTGGGCCGAATGAGCGTCCACCACTAAATCTTACATGTAGGCGGCACGGGCAAGCTCAGTCGACATGAGAACGCAAATAAGGTTCCACGGTGCAAGCACTGTGTAATCAAAGCTCGCGCATGTAATTTGTGTGCGCTCCCTCTCTAGGTTTTTTCGTGCCGTTCAGCATACGAGGCGTTTTCTTGTGCGCGAATGTTCGTCGCATTGGCTTCCCAATCGGTGGCCACGACCAAGGTTGCACCCCCCCTCCCGTCACGGTTGTTGGGCGCGCTGTCTGTTATGGTGGTCGTCATTTCGATTTGTCCTCGAAGTTTTTCCACTAAGCTTGGTGCGTGTTTTCTTGCACTGGCGGGCCTCATTCGGGTGCTGCTTGCAGCGGGGCCGAGGTCCACCGTACGAGCGCGTTTGTGTTCTGTTATATTGCAGAAGGGAACAAGCCCAAATACAACATCAACGCAAACACGAGACATTTACAACCACGCACGCGGAACCTGAGCACCACACATGGTAACCCTTCCAAAGATACAAACATACATAAGATAAGTAAAATAGGTAACAGCGCGATCCAGTCCGATCGGCAGTGGTCTGTTGCCAGGGTCCTGGGGCGTCGGGCTCTTTCCAGGCCGCCGCTTCCTCGACGCGCGCGTTTGCTGCCTGCCGCCCCCCTGTGCAAAAGCGGCCCAGAGGACAAGCCGTGCTTTCAAGACTGCGCCTCCCTGGTCAATGCGAGCGGGGCAGTGTTGATTCTGATGGTGTATCGCGATAGGGCGCTGTCTGAGGATAGCTCGTCGTTGGCCGCGTTCTTGGACGGCGTCGCGAGGTCAGACTTGACGCAGGTGCACAAGGCCGGGTTCGATGCCAGCAGTACAGACCAGGGCGACCATATGGCCGCTTATTTCCCAACAGACCCATTGGGTGCATCAGGGTGCCACGACATAGTGCACATTGTTCAGCTGAAGCCGGTGCCATCCGCAAGCATACCGGCTGAGTTCTGCGGGTCGTTGGCGCAGACGTTGTCCGATATTCCACCGCCCAAGATCGAGCAGATTCTGTTGTCTACGAGGATACAGTTTTGTTCGCCATTGCAGCTGCTCAGTGCTATTGTTCTCAACCCTTTCGTTCTTTACATAATGTTTGAGATGTCAGATTACCCAGGGATTTGGCGACGCATTTTTCCGAGAAGTGGGCCCTAGGATTTCTCGGCCTTGTCCCCGAGGCTAGCTTTTGCTCATCCTGAGTCGTTTTTGGGGGGTGTTCGGAACAGTCCCAGAGCCCAGAGCTGGTTTTCAAAGGGCTAGCATGGAGAACACATAGTTGTCTGGATTTGGTCGAGCCGCCAGGTTTGTTGGTGCATTCGAGATGTCAGCCCACAGACTTGCAACATCACTCTCGCGTGGTCTCGATTGTCAGTGTACGAATCTGCTGCGCTTCACGGGCAGGTCAGGGGCGCTTGCTGCTGGCTCGTCGTCCGCCCGCTCCTCCTACTTCGCTCTCTCCCTGTAGATCCAGCGCGTCGGAAACCTCGGCATCACAGTTCCGTGCTCGCGCCCACACACACACAAAAAACACCAACCGCTTTGGCAAATCAGGGATAGCCCACACGCAGAACCACTTTGTGCGTGTGCCCACACGCAAATGACACCAGCCGCTTTGGCTTGTGCCCACACGCAGAAGACACCAACCGCTTTGGCAGTCTGGAGGGGCCGGTGCCGTGTCCAGGGGTAGCCAACAACGATGCGGGGCGAATGTCCAAGCCCCGGGAGTGGGTCGAGAGGTCTGGGTCACCGTGTCGCTCGGCTATGCGGCTGTATATATATATATATATATATATATATATACATACATACATGCATCTATGTATAATAACAGAGGAAGCAAAATGTCGGGGAAACGTAAGACTCGAGTCCGCCAGAACTCGGGCTTGCCGACGCTTTGTTGATTAGCCCGCCTTGCATTTTGAAAGCCCAGTTGTCGTAAGATTTTCGTAGCGGAAGGTCGCGTCAAATTTCAGATTGGCTCTCGTCATTGTCATGATGGCCCCGTCAGGCCAACCCAAGTCCCCCGTACCCGAGTCGCACGTCTCCCCGATTCGCCGGAGTGGCTTGTGGTGCGGGCGCATTGGGGTGCCTATATGGCTGACTCCGACGCGATAGCAGCGATAGCAGCGGCTTGCGCGCTCTGGGCCGGTCTCCATGCGGCTCCCGAAAGTCGCGCACAAAGGTCATTCTTTCCTAGGGTCACTCTTACGTGTAGCCGAATCTCGAAAATCACTCGGCGGCGAGAGAGGGGGGAAAATGAGAAGGCTAAGGCCTTCTCGGCATGCGGTGGGACTTCTGAGAAGCCCTCGCGCCTTCTGGAAGGTTTTCTGTGTCTTCGGGGAAGGCTTAGGAAGCTTCTCAGAAGGCCGGGGGACTTCCGAGCCTTCTGAGAAGGCCTTCTCCTTCTCACTTCCCCCCCTCGCTCGCCGCCAATTCTTCGCGTTGTGGAAAAATCGCGACGTCCGTTTTTGGTCCGTTGTCGGATTCACGGCGATCATCCAGTACCAGAAATTTCCAGCAGATTTCCGGACGAGCTGGTCGCGACCGACTCTGGTTGCGAATGTCGGTAAAGTACAAGCTGTCGACGCTTCAAACCATTCGCGTGGACCCCGACGCGCCGTCATTTCATTACCGAAATTCATCCCCCCTTGGTCGAGAGTGAATTCAAGCGCGACTGAGATCCGTTACCGAACATTTCCAGTCGTGGACGATTTGGGTACAGGGGCCCGGGACTGGAAAGGATTCGGGATGAGAAAATGGCGATCACTTGGAAAGGGTTCACCAGACGAGGCTAGGACGAGGATAAATCCGTTCCGAGCGTTCGGGAACGCTCTCAGTGCGTTCCGGGACGCTATGAGAAGGCCGCGGCGCCCATCCCCCTGAACCGCCAGATCTCAAAGATTCTGGATCCATCCTCCCTTGAATTTATCCTCGTCCTGGCTTCGCCGTGCACTTAGACAGTGCTCAGAGCGCTGGGGGCCCATGCGGCGAAAAGCCACGGCGTCGGAGGTATGGGGATGCCGCCTTGGATCACCGAGCTTAAAAGAAGCCCTATCCCAAGTAACACGATGAAGACGTGGCCTCACTGAGGTCCCCGTCTGCGCATTAGGCATTCGGGGTACAAGATCTGGACGCTTTGGTTCGGTACATCTGCAGAACAGGCCTCCTCCGGTAAGGGGACAAAAAAGTGGAACCCCTTCGTCTTCGGCCCCGCATTCGCCGCCCCCCCCTCCCCCCCCCAATTTCAAAGTTGGGTCCGGCCTCTCGGAGGCCCTGGGGGTTCCACTCTTTTTGTCCTCTCACGCCTGTGCTGCCAAATGCTTGAGGCCAACTTTGAAATCGGGGGGAGGGGGGGGGCGCGGCGTCAAGGGTTCCACTGTTTCGTCCATCCACGGTCCCCCTAATGTTTCTGTCGGGGGAGCGTAAGACCCGGGTTTGCCGGGACTCGGGTTCGCCATCGTTTTTTGACGACCGCGACTCGGATTTTGACGAGGAGGAGTTTCGTGGGATGTCTGCAGCGGGAGGCCTCGTCAAAATGCAGGCTCGGCCTCGTCATTTTTTTGACGACCTCGTCGGGGATTTCCGAGTCCCCCGTACCCGTGTCTTACGTCTCCCCGATTCTGGCCCTCCCAGATTCGGTCCCCTCCCAAAGGGTCGGGGGCCTTTTTTTGTTGTTTGTTGCTCCGTGGAAGAGGCCCGCGGGGGTACACGCAGGGGGGGAGCCACGAGAGGGCACGGGACCGCGGGGGTGCACCTCGGGGGCCACGGGAGCGAGCCACAGGATGGAGCCACGAGGAGGAGGAGGAGGAGGAGGAGGAGGAGGAGGAGGAGGAGGAGGAGGAGGAGGAGGAGGACGAGGAGGAGGAGGAGGAGGAGGAGGAGGAGAAGGAGGAGGAGGAGGGGGAGGAGGAGGGGGGCCGTGGGCCAGGGGGCCCGCCATGGGCACCCCTCCGCCCTGCCCTCCCAACCCTCCCAACACGTTCTGCGCCGCGGCGCGGCAGAGGCGATCCGCACGCGCGGTGGGGCGAGAGACCAGGACGCGGCGTCGCGAGTCAGCCAGCAGGCAGGAGGGAGCTGGCATCGCTCGGACGTGTGCATTTTTTTTTCGGCGAGGAACATCGAGGACCATCCTGGACCAACGGGCAACAAAAAACACGCACGAAACCGAAACATGCATGGGAAATGTACGTCCGAGCGACGGCAAGAGGGGGAGGGCGGGAAGGCGGGGGCACTCGCGCAGCGAAGCTGCGGCGGGTGCGCGGGAGCGGCCAGGCTGAGGGGCAGCCCCTTGGCAGCCCCCTCCCTGCACACGGGGATGCGTCGGTGGAAGCAGTCGAGCATGTGGTTTGCTTTGTCTGCCCACGGGGTCCCGTGGGGTACCGCTGAGGTGCCTGGCAGGGTGGGCGCGGGAGGCAAGCCACGGGCGGGCTCTTACTCATCTCTTTGTCGCAGCGTCAAGGTGTCCGCAAAAGCACAGTGCTCACGCAGCGCCTTGCATGAAGCTTGCTCAATGAGGGGAAAGGGATACGAATGATGCCAGCGCGTGGGCAAGGGGCTTCCCTTCGACTCGATAACGACGTTCCTTGACTTCCAAAAATATGAGTGTTCCCCCCCGCCCCCCCGATGGGAGGGGTCACACACACCCCATCAACCCCCCAGGACCTTAGTGGGCCCCAGAAACGGCAGGAAGGTGTTTATGGCGTTTCCGAAAAAGTGTTTTTTGAAAGTGGAAACGGTCCAACAGAAACGGCAACCGGAAGAGCAGCAAAAACGGCTCCAGAATCAGAGCTGGAAGCGGAATTGGCAGAAAAACGGCGACGGAACCAGAAAAGAAACGGCGCTGGGACAGTCACCAGAAACGGTAAAACGGAACCCGTAAAACAGCCCTGTCGGTTCCAGGGGTCATAGAGCCAGGACTCCCCGGGATCCCCTGAGGCGGGGGAGGGATCAAAGGGGTGCTCCCTTTGGGGGTGCGACAACTGAAACAAGAAAGCGTTTCACACACAGCCTAATATACTTCGATTTGATCCTGCACGGTCAACCTGGCATTGAAGACGCTGACTTTGATGAATCGCCGCCCGTTGCCTCGTGCAAACGCTTGTGTCGTGAAATGTCAAGCGAACGTGCGGCCACGCTGGTGGACTGCTTCTTCCCCGACCTGGTGGTGAACCGTTGGGGGGATAGTGGGGAAGAGCCTTTCTGGGTCTCCTCGGGGATGTCTTGGTGCGTTGCTAGTGCCTTTTGTGCATTACTGGGGTCTCCCGGGGCATCTTGGGCCATCTTTTGCGGTCAGGCGCTTCTGTGGGCCGTTTCGGTGTTTTGCTCGGCCGTCTTGGGGGGCTTTAGTCAACGTTGTTGCGCTTTCCTGCGATATCTTATGTATTTCAATATCGTAAAACATCCGTCAATTTTAATTGAAATTAAGTCAGCGTGTGCTGGTCTGTGTGGACGGCAGTATTATTCATGAACGGTTCGCTAACTGCGGGGCCATTCTCTACCCTTGTATAGCTTGCGGTCTGCGGTATCCTGTTGAAAGCTCGACATCGAGCCTAAGGCACCCCGTCACTCCTACGCATCCGCCAGTGTTGGGGCGATCTGGATGCAACAGTATGCCCTAGCACCAGCGATAGTCTGTCTAGTTGATATAGGGCTCTGGATCGAGCCGAGAACGAAGTTGAGGCATACCATTTGGGAGTTTGTATCGTCCTCGCTCTGAATCAGTTTGTTTTTCCCGGATGTATGCCACATTGTGTCCGAGCAGGCTTACATCGAGGCTGCACGCTTGCGGTTCATGTTGTTACTTCCTGGCCTCGTATGGCTGTTTGGGGTCATTTGTTTCCACTTCGCGATAGTAGCGACGAGATTGAAGTGTGCAAGCGGAGGCAGAGAGGGACGTGTATGATCGAAGACGCCTACGGCGAATCACCGCCGCCCCCTGCCTTTTTGGAAACGCCGATGTGGCCGAAAGTTGGACTAGAGCTTGGCCAAGCTATCGGACCATGAGTTCCCCGAGTCGGTTTGGAAAGCTTTCGGGGAACACATGGGAGAGAATGATTATGAACAGGAAGAGGAAGAGGAAGAAATAGAGTAGGAGGATGAGGGTTGTTAGGAGTCTCTTGGGGCACCCTTGGGGTCTGTTGGGGGCTTCTTGGGGGCCTCTTCGAGGCCTCTTGGAGGCATCTTGGGGGCCTCCTTGGGCCTCTTGGGGGCCTTTGGGGGCTTCCTGGGGGTCTCTTTGGCCGTCTTAGGGCGTTCCTGGTCCGTCTGACGCCGTCTGGAGCCGTCTTGGGGGCCTCTCTGGGCCGTCTTGGGGCCCTCTTGGGGCGCTTCAGGGCCGTCTTGGAGGCCATGTTGGGCGTCTTGGAGGCCTCTTGGGCCGTCTTGGGGCGCTCTTGGGGCCGTCTTGGGGGGCCCTTGGGCCGTCATAGGGCCTTCTTGGAGGCCTCTTGGGCGATCTTGGGGGCCTCTTGGGCCGTCGGAAGGCCGAAAAGAAGAAAACGCAAAAAACCTTCAAAAACCTAAGGAAAACCAATGATTTTGGCCTCTTCGGGCTCTCCTGGAGAACGTCTTGGAGGCCTCTTGGGCCATCTTGGAGGCATCTTGGGGCCATCTTGGCCGTCTTGGAGGGCATCTTGGGCCGTCTTGGAGGCATCTTGGAGCCATCTTACCCGTCTTGGAGGCCATCTTGGCCGTCTGGGAGGCATCTTGGAGGCCATCTTGGGCCATCTTGGCCGTCTTGGAGGCCATCTTGGGCCAAGTTGGGGCAACAAAGGCATTGACAGACGGATTTTGGGAAAATTACGGGTGGCCGGCGGGACGGGCCGAAGCCCACTGGGGAGTTCTTTTAGAAAAAGAACCAAAACCAAAACCTGAAACATCCAGCACGCCGTGCACCCCTGCAAGCAGGGGGCGGCGGATTTCTAGTGGCCTTCGGCCCATCCCGCCACGGTACTTTGATTTTCGGTCGGAGGCTTGTTGGAGACCTCTCGGAAGCCTTTTGGAGGCGGTGTTGGGGATGGTTGGAGGCATCTCGGGGGCCTCTTGGTGGCCTCTTTGGGCTTGATGGGGCCTCTTCGGGGCATCTCGGGGGCCTCTGGGGGAATATTGGTGTCATCTTGGGGCGCAGGGTTCAAAAGGTCAGTTTGTATTCCCCCTCTTGGGTTCGTCTTGAAGGTTCTTGAGCCGTTTTAGGGTGATCTTTTGGCGCCTATTGGGTCGTCTTGGACGGAAGCTCTGAAGACAACACGGCGGTAACGTTAAAGCCATGCGAGACCTTAGTGGGTCCCGGAAACGACAGGACAGTTTTCTCACAGTTTTCGAGAAAGCGTGTCTTGAAAATAAAAGCGACAAAGAAACGGCGACGGAAACAGCAAAGAAACGGCTTCGGGATTGAAACCGAAACAGGAACGGGAAAACAAACGGGGACGCAATCTGCAAACAAACGGCGACTGAAGCGGCAAGAAAACGGCGAATTCGAATTGGTAAGAACACGGCCTTGTCGTTTCCAGGGCCCATTAAGTGCAAGAGCCACATGGTTTGACGACTCTTGCCTTATAGGCCACGTTCCAAGACGTCCGAGACAGTCCAGATGGCTCTGAGAGGGCTTCAGGACTGTCCTCGGTGCCATACGCGTGTCCCGAACAACGCGCTCTCGGCGGGGAAACCTCGAGAGCGCCCAGGAACGCCAGGGAGCGCCCCGAATTTTGAATTGTGGGTTTTTTGAAGGTTGTCCGCGGTACTCAACACCGAGAGTTCGAAGGGACCTGGGGACATTCAAGCTCGTGCCGCAAGGCACGGTGGCGGATCTGGTTAGCCAGTGCATCCGCGTCCGTGACATCGTTGTTATGATTCGTCTCGCACCTACCTTGCTCGATGTTGGCCTGCTTCGCCACTAATGGAATATCGTCCCCAGGAGTTTCCCTCAGGTCGGGCATTATTCGTTGCAGGAGATCAGGAGCCGCTGGTATTTATTCTTCACGATCCTCGCGCTGGTGAACATAGGGTTACTTCAGTTATTTTTTCTTCTAGAATGGAGGAAGCGTCGTCTCGCGTTACGGCACGAGCAGTATTCCACTTCTGTTGATCAAAAACGCGAGAGCGACACTCCGCTTACCCCGTTCTGAACTCACACCGCGAGCGCAACAGGCAAATTGAGCATCTGATGAAACTCGTTGGCCTTGACATATCGTGAGTCGTTGGTGTTTTTCCATGTTCGACTGTTTACTAGACCTTGCCACGTATCGCAGATGGCCTCTTCTCTCAAACCATGTTTTGAATTGTGTTGCAAGCCTCGTTTTCAGAAGCGTGGAGGCTAGCTCATACAGTAGCAAATCAGATATAAAGGTTTTTTTCCGCTTGGCTGGAGGGAACGTTCCATGTGCTGTTCTCACTCGCCTGGCACTCGCCAAAAGGGTCGGCAGACTCTCAAGGTTTAGAGGACGGAGACCCAGAGGCACAGGGGCCTTCGAGCGCCCTCCTGCCAAGAACGCCTCAAGAGTACAAGGACGATTTGCTGTCAAGCCATCACGTAGCCGATGGACAGGAGTTTTTGCAGGACCGTATGGCGCGAATAAAACACCCATACCGATCCTGGCGCAGTCCATTCTGGCCCTCCAGGCTCAGAATGTGTGTATTCCCTCGCATCCGAAGTGTTTTTGGAACTTGCGGCCTCGGAGCCATGACCCCTTCCCCGGGTCAGTTTTTCACCCCGGCTCCATTTTTGATCGCCCCATGGGGCCCGATAGTCGGCCCTGGCGGCCAGAATGGAGGCAACGTTCCCAGATTCCGAAGTCATATCGTCGGAGATCCCGATACGCCCTCTCCAGCAGGCGAGCGATGAGGGCGCAGTCACCGATCTTGCGGCCCAGGATTGCGAGCCTTCCGAGGCCTCCGAAGGCCTCCGACAGCCTCCGAAGGCCGCGCCTCCGAAGGCCTCCGAGGGCCTCCAGCAGCCTCCGAGGGCTTCCGAGCGCCTGCCAGGGCCAGGGCCCTAGGACGTCGGAGGTGGCCTCACCGACCCCTCGCAAACATCCCCCTCCGCCAGCACGAACGAAATAGGCACAGAAAACATGGGTACAATGCCAAACAGCAGTTCCTGTTCATCTTAAGCAGGATTCGCTGTCCGCGCCGCCGCGGCCTGTGCCCATTTGAGACAACGGCCGCCCGCCCAACAGCGGCCGCTGTTGGTCTGGGACAACACTTGTTGCTGGGCATTGTGTGCCCACTTCTTCCGCACCCTTCTCGGGCGTCCAAATCCGTGATTTCCCCCTTCGTTTCGCCCCAAGGCGCGAGCCTGCGGACCGAGGGGGAGCTCGAAAGGCGAGGGGGAGCCCGAAAGGCGAGGATGACGCCACGGAAGGGGACGGGGGGGAGGGGAGCGGTCGCCTCCGCGTCTTCGTTCGCGCCTCCCTGCTCCTGCTCCGCCTCCTCCTCCTCCTCCTCCCGCCTCCCCCTCCTCCTCCTCCTCCTCCTCCTCCTCCTCCTCCTCCTCCTCCTTTTCCTCCTCCTCCTCCTCCTCCTTTTCCTCCTCCCTTCTTCTCCCTCCTCCTCCTTCTCCTCCTCTCTCCTCTCCTACCTCCTCCTCCTCCTCCTCCTCCTCCTCCTCCTCCTCCTCCTCCTCCTCCTTCTCCTCCTCCTCCTCCTCCTCCTCCTCCTCCGCCTCCTCCTCCTCCTCCCTCCTCCCTCCTCCTCCTCCTCCTCCTCCTTCTCCTCCTCCTCCTCCTCCTCCTCCTCCTCCTCCTCCTCCTCCTCCTCCTCCTCCTCCTCCTCCTCCTCTCCTCCTCCTCCTCCTCCTCCCTCCCCCTCCCCCTCCTCCTCCTCCTCCTCCTCCTCCTCCTCCTCCTCCTCCTCCTCCTCCTCCTCCTCCTCCTCCTCTTCCTCCTCCTCCTGGTTCGGCCGCGCCCGAGGGCGCGCGCCCCGGGGCCTCCCAGGGCCTCCGCTCGGCGCGGAGGCGCGGCCGGCGCCCTCCCCCGCAGGGCTACAGCCTCCAGGACTTCGAGGACAGCTACGCGCCAGCGGCGGGGGGCTTTGGCGCCCCTCGGAGGGGCGCTCTGGGCCCCTTCGGAGATGGAGGAGGGAGGAGGAGGAGAAGGGAGGAGAAGGAGGAGGAGGAGGAGGAGGAGGAGGAGGAGGAGGAGGAGTGAGGAGGAGGAGGAGGAGGAGGGGAGGAGGAGGAGGAGGAGGAGGAGGAGGAGGAGGAGGCGGAGGAGGGCCCCTCAGAGGGGCTCCGGCCACTCGGAGGAGGGAGGGAGGAGAGAGCGGTCCAGGTTGTCGCTGTCTGAAGGAAGGCCATTCGACCTCATGAGATTCGAGCCGCGGCGATCTTGGTTCAAGTGCTGCTTCTGTGAAGTGGAACGCTGCAGTGGTTGAGTGGTGGAGAGAGCGGGAGAGGAAGGACGGGAGCGGGAAAGGGGGGCGCCCCGCGAGGAGAGGAAATTGGAGGCGGAGGTTGAGGCGGAAGCTGGGGAGGAGGAACTTGAGATCTGGGCATGGCATTGTTTCCGCACTGGCCGCTTTCGCCCGTTGCCAGGCCCCGGGGCCGTCGTAGATGGATCCGGCGTAAAAGGTGCAGCAGCGAGATGTGGTCCAGGGTGTTGGTTGCGGTGTCTGGCGATGTCGCATTATGTTCGCAAAGTTGGATCCCACGGTCACAACGTCGTCTTGCCAGCCAGGGGGCCACAGAACTCGGGGAAGCAACTCGAGCGCCCCAGCGTCTCGCCGGTTGGGCAGCTGGGACGTATACACATATATATGTATATATATATATATACCGAATTCTTTGGCCGACCAAACGATGTGGCGTGTGCGCGCATGCACACTAACAACGTGTGTATGTCAGCCATCGTGGAACCCAGAGAGTGTGTGACCAGCTATTTGTGTTGTGCAGCCTATGTTGTGCCGCAACTTTGATGCAACCTATATGGTGCAACTTATGTGCTATAACATACCATACGTTGTGCAATTCGGGTGCAACAACCGCTGTGTCATAGCCTGCGTGGTGCTACGGTGTGCAGAATATGGTGTGCAGCCTGCGCGGTGCAATACATGTGTTGAGATCATCATTTTGACGAAGAGGGGGCGGAAGGGCGGCGACGGCGACCACGGCAACGCCAGACCAGCAGCCGGGCTGGGGACGACGGGCGGCGACGAGGCGGCGGCCGCACGGCGACGGCGACCACCGCGCCGCCAGATCAGCACCCAGGCCCAGACGACGGGCGGCGACGCGGCGGGCAACGGCGGCCACGGAGCCGCCAGATTGGCAGCTGGGTCCAGACGACGGGGGGCGACGAGACTTCGACGGCGCGGCGACGGCGACCGCGGAGCCGCCACACTGGCAGCCAGGGCCAGCTCTTGTAGAGCAGGGGGGGGCCCCTCATTGCAAGCATCGTTTTCGGAATGGGGTCTTGTTGCTGGTCTATGGATGTGCACAATCTCACATATATGGTAACCAATGTGGACCCCAAATGCGTTCTCAGCAGTTTTTGGTGTGCACTCTATGTGGGGCAGCTGGTTTTTACAAAGGCGCTGACAACTTCCATGCTCTCGCAAACATCCCACCCACCCACCCGCAACTTGGTTTGCAAAACCGATGCGGCTACGTATGCGATGGGTGCTTGGCGTTGGCTGGTGCATTTCTGCGGCCGCGCTAGCCCGCGCACGTTCGCACGCACAGCGGCCAGCTATAGTTTGGTGCGACCGACGCGGCTGCGGCGGCGCTGGCCGTTGGGCACTTCCCAGCGGGAGCGTCAGTGCGAATCTGTGATTTGGGCGGGCGCGGTATCATGGAGACGCCGACAACGGTAGACACGATTCTGAGAGTAGCGATGATGGTGACGATGGCGGCGGTGACGACGGCAAGGCCAATGACGGCGCCGATGCCAATCACGCCCGCCGAAACGATGACGACATGCGCGCGCGGTCGACGCGCGCGAGTGGCCCGCGTATCGTGCCCCCCCTCAGCACACGCGCAAGGGCGTTCGAATGTGTACGACATGCGTTGCCAGAGGCCCGGTTGGTAGCATGTCGTGCACAATTTGAACAACGCATTGGCTTTTGAAGAATTCGCAAGAGAGCGAGCGCAGGCGTTTGTGTACACCATGTTTGCGATACCGTGTTCATACATATCATGTTGTTGCGCCTCTCTGTTTTGAAATCCGCACGCAACTTAAGATTTTGTTGAACATGTCGGCATGCGCATGCGACGACGCGCGCGTGCACATGTCGCCCCATATGTTGCACAAGGGGCCGTTTGAAAACTGATTTTCTACCGGATGAAAAGGGGGGGCCATACCGGCCTGCCTGGGATGGTACGAAGTCATATTTCGGATGGGCGATGGGGCAGAGTTAGATGCAAATTGCATTCCGGAAAGGTGGTCCTTTAACCCGGGGGATTTCTAATTCTTAAAAGACAGGAGAGTCTATGTTATGCATACGTGGTGCAATTCACATTGTATACGATTCGTTGAGCCACCACTGGTGCACAACATCGCTGGTGCATTCTACGTGATGCTACAAGTTGCATCATTGACAAGTTGGTGCGCGGAACTGTGCTTACATCTGCCAGGAATTAGGGTTGAGAAGTAAATGTCACATTTTTGTTTGTTTGTTTGAGGAAGTCTGGTATTCGCGACGATGCGCGCGTGTGGTCTTTGTTCTGTTGTGTTTTCGTTGCTAAGGCTCGTGTTTTGAAAATTGGTGACTAGTGCAAAGCGAGTGCCTGCATGTTATCATGTGTCAGGAATGAAGCGGCCGGGCTGGAGTGGTACGACATTAATTCTACAACGAAGTATGGGGCAGCGTCGTACGTAAATTTCTGTGCCCCACGAGGGGGGGGGGCGATAATTCGGGGGTGGGGAAAAGTCTGTACTGGAGTATTTACGCGGTGCAGTTTTCAACTCCAGTGTTCGCGCAGTCATTCCACCCACCCACCCGCAATTTGTTTTGCAAAACCCATGCGGCGGCGATTGCATGTATTGCTTTGCGCTGGCTGGCGCATCGCCGCGGCCGCGTTCGCGCGCGCGCAGGCTCGCGCGCAGAGCGGCCAGCTATTCTGGCGCGACCGATACGTTCGCGGTGGCGCTGGCCGCTGGGACCTTCCCGGCGCGTCTCGCAGGCCGCGCTAACGCGCGGGCGCTTCATTGCGAGTCGGTGGCTCGGGCGGTTGCGGTATAATGGTTGCGCCCGCTACGGCACACACCGTGATGATATTAGCGAGAATGGTGTGGACGATGATGACGATGACGACTGCAAGGCCTATGAACGCGCCGATGTTTGTCACGCCAGTGGGTGTATTGTCCACGTATCGGCGATGAAGGTATTTGAGAAATTTCGACATGCACGCGGCCGACGCGGGCGAGTGGCCAAAAAGATCAGAGGGAGGGGGCCGAACAGTCTTACATTGTCCCCGGGCGCGTGGCCGACATGGGTTCCTGCGGTG